CTTCCGCTTACAACTTTCATAGTTCATGTAGCGGATCTTGCCGAAGATTGGCCTCTCCTTCCATCTGCTCAATCGTCATCCCCTCCTCTCTATCCCCCTCCCTCATCTTCCTTCTCCTTCTTCCCCTCCTCCTCCTCCCTCTGCTACTACGCCGCCTCACCCCATGTCGTGAACGCCACCAATCGACCACATGCTGAGAGCACAAGTGAGGAGGAGACAAGAGGAGGAGGGAGAGGGAGGGAGGGAGGGAGGAGCAGGGAGGCCGTGCAGAGGAGGGAGGAGGTTCACCATCCGACGAAGCCATTGGGGTCTCTGCCGTCAAGGTTGTACTTGTCGTTGAGCAGGATGGCGAACTTGAGCGCTTCCTCCGGCGACGAGGTCCACTCGAGGATCTTCTTAGCCCAGTACATCCTCATGAAGCCATGCATCTTCCCCCTGCTTCCAAGTCATGATCCTTCCTCCTTCCTCCTTCCTCCTCGCCCTTCTCCTCCTGCCCGTCCTCGTCCCCGTCCTCGTCCCCGTCCCCGTCCTCCTCCTTCTTCATTCCTCCTTCCCTTCCCCATCTCCATCTTCAACGATGCACATTATTATTTTCCTGACGTCTTTCTCCATCCTCACCTCCTCTTTCTTGCTCCCTTTCTCTCCTCTCCTCTCCTCTCCCACCTGTGCACCAGCTCGAGCTGTGCAGCGTTCCAGAGATCGTCGTGGGTCTTCGCCTCCTCGAGCTTCGCAAGCGAGTAGACGTGAGGGCGCTTGTCGCCCGCATGCACCTTGAGAGTCTCCTGGGCCCACCTGATGCAAAAGTAAGAGGAGAAGGAGCAAAGCGAGCAGGAGCAGGAGGAAGAAAAGACAATGAGCGGGAGAAAGCAGAAGGATGAAGAGGAGGATGAGGACGAGAACGGAGAGGCAGGAGCAGGAGCAGGAGCAGGAGCGGGAGCAGGAGCAGGCTCGAGAGGGAGGAAGAGGAGTCTTACCCCGCGCACCCCTCAAGCGAGTCATACTTCTTGTTGTAGTGGCAGAAGTTGTCGCTCAGCTCTCGTCTCACCACCAGCTCCTCGATGTAGCTCGCGTAGCTCTCCGAGTGCATCTTCGAGAAGCTCTTCGCCTCCAAGGCGCATCGCGCCGGCGCCACCTGGCCGAAGTGAAGCCAGGGGGACATGTCGGACAGAACCTCCTCGCTCGGGTCGTTCCTGCTCGCCCGCTGCCGTCAGGACGCAGGAAGAGAACAGAGAGGGGGGAGAAGGGGAGAGGATGGTACAAGAAAGAGGAGGATGGGAAGGGGAAGGCGAAGGCGAAGGGGGAAGGGAGGGAAGGGAAAGAAAACCTCTTGGTGTTGAAGTTCTTGAATTTTTGCATGAGAAACTTGGAGAGGTTCTCAAGGCCTGCTGCTGACCCGGGTTTCTGCTGAAAAATCAGCGAAGACCGCTGAATTCTTTGGCAATCTCCTCTTCCTCTTCCTCTTCCTTATTCTCCTTCCTTCCTGTTCCCTTCCTGTTTCCTCCTCCTCGTCCTCCTCCCTTCCGTCCTCTCTGTCTCCTCGCTCCTCACCCACTCATCCCTCCTGCCTCCTGCCTCCTGCGGACTCACCGCCCACGTGACTTCTGGAATGCTCTCGTCGCACTTGAGGGACTTTAGGGCAGCCTCGAAATCTGCGAGGAACAATGACGATGAGGAGAACATGAGATTCACAACTCATAAGGGAGAAGGAGCAGGAGCAGGAGCAGGAGCAGGAGCAGGAGCAGGAGCAGGAGCAGGAGCAGGAGCAGGAGCAGGAGCAGGAGCAGGAGCAGGAGCAGGATGATAGGAATGGGGGGAAGGAGAAAGGAGTTTTGAGGTCACCAGTAGGTGGAGGAGAAGTCTTCCAAGGATGAGGATGTGACATAACGGCGGGAAAGTTCTGATGGAACTTGGGGAGAAGCTGCAGGATGTGGGTTCAGAGGGAGAAGAACGGGCAGGATACGCATCTCACCCTGTGAATCTTCGGGCGGAGGGTTCTTGCCCCCACTTCCTGCTTGTCGGACGCAACCCAAACTGGAACCTGGAGAAGAAAAGAGGAGGAGGAGGAGGAGGAGAGTAAGAGCCGGTCACACTAGCGGTTCTTTTTTCTCCCCGAACTCGTGGGCGTCTGTCTCTTGGGGGTGGACGGGGGGTGATGCCTTTG